TTCGGGTTTTGGGGGAAAAACCTACAACTCTTTAGTAATCCTCTTTCTCTTTTTCCTGGAATTATGATATTGTTATATTGTTATAAAGACGTGAATAATGCCTAGCAGAATATAATTTGATTTTCTCAGTTAAAAAGAGACCAAAAAAAATAAATCTTAAGCCAACTAGGAAATGCTGACGAAATCTGGTAGTGGAAATTGTAAATATTTTTTTTTTATATTTAGTAATCTCATCATTGATAAGAGCAACATCATACATGACATGCATGCCATCATACACAACATCATACACATCATACACAAAATTGAGGGGTATAAAGTACATTTAATTTGAACAGTTGTTGCATTCCAACAGACTACTAAAAATAAATGTGTCTACTCTCTTGATCTAAACAGTTTATTATTTTAAGAGTTTAGTTGTGTAGCAGCTTCTGAAATAGTGTTGATGGCTTTTGGCGGGATTTTTTTCTAAACATATTAGTTTCATTGAAATAAAAACATTATTAAGCATTATACATTTTTGTGTTAATTACATTAATATTTTGAAAATAAAGGTATTCAAATTGAGACATTGCGATATTAAATACTAACTTCTTAAAATATGTTTCTTTATTGGAAATAAGGTCAGTATTATTTTATTTTTTATGTTTCAGAGAACAAATTATTTATATATATATTTTTTTTTTTTTTCAGCTTAAAAATGTTTAATCACATACCATAGTTTACTACTTTTGGCTGTTTGTAAATTGGTATTAAGGTGAAAGTTTTAAAGATAAGCTGTCTTGTTTGAGGAACCTCAGAATGACCAGAATATGTTAAAGTTACACAAAACTATTTTTAAAAAGATGTTGAATGAACAATTCGCCCGCATTAATTTTTAAGCTTTAAAAGTATATCGAACAATTAAATTAGTGTAAACCATTATATTAATTTATTAAACAGATAAAAGTTTCTTTGACCTTAGGATGCTTCTTTAAAATTGTGCTATTTTTTAAATTAGTAATTAATTAAACTCTTTTTTTTAATAAACGTTTTATTTAATAGTTTTTTTTTAATTAATGGTTTGTCTATTCTAAATTAAATTTTTCACAAGTATTTTTTTACATTACATTTGTTATAAAAGAAACTCCTGTTCATAGAATTAAAAAAGTTGCCAAGTTGTCACTTACTGGACTTAAATTTTGTATCTGGATCTATAATAGTAATGGGCTGTTTCTTTTCATTTAATTATATACAAAAATAAGTTAAATAGATATATCTATATATATATATTGTACATATGGTCCTATATATGTAATTTTTGTATAACTTTTTCTTTGCCATGAAACGTATGTCTTTAACACCCTCTCAGAGAAAAATAATATACAGGATATTGAAAAGTAGTGAATTAATATGAAATTTTAGCTTATGATGTCCCTACCAAATAATAGGTTATTAAAAATTGTAGGGTCGAAAATGGTATATTTCCTGGGGACCAGGAATGCTTGCAGATGTTAACTTCATTTAACTGGAGATTATTATTATGTGATGGAATATATGTTTTTTAATTGTTGCGCTCTGCTTGAAAATCCAAGTTTAAATTTTATAAACTGGGATAAAAGATCTCTGAGCCTAAAATAGGTCTCTGATTGGAAATATCACTTTGTTATTCTTTTATGTGACCTTATTTGAGGAATAGTGCATGTTATTGCTCAACTGTCTTTATTTTTTATTGTATTGTGATATTAGTAATTGTATAAAACAATGTGGGGGAAAAAAACGGACAGGATGCTGTAGCTACTATGTCTTCTTTTAGATTACAGTATGTTTGAAAGCTCTTGTTGAAATGCAGAGATCTGAGCAATATGTTAACCACCCTGGATGTGGTGCACTGTAAATATGTTGTATAAATGGGTAATTATAAATGAAAAGGTGTTATTGTAAATACACATGTGGGAAAGATAATAAAAGTAATAATATTTAAATTTATAAAATCTTATTTTGTTAAGTGTGTGTTTAGTTAATTAAAGTTAACTAAGCAACCAGGTTAAGATAAGATAAGATTCTTTTATTGATCCAAATAAATGGAAATGTTTTATGATTGCCTTGTACATTTTCAGCACGCTGGTAAATTCATACAAATTAGGGAACAAAAGAATTTTTAAATCTTTCAGTCCTCGCCCTGATGGAAAGAATTCGTCTCGAATGGGCCGACCTTAAGAATCTGTGATGAAGAGTGTGGGATGTATCATCCATAATGTGTTTAGTTTTACAATAACATCTTTCTTCAAATAGTTCTTCCAGTAAATAATGTTTAGTTTGTGTTATGTTTCTAGCTTTCTTGCTTACGCCTAATGATTACCATGGGGCACGCCACAAACGGAGTGAATTCAGTTTACATAAGGCACTGGGCTAAATAATGCCTCCCACAAAACTTTTAAAATGTTCTTCCCTGTTCAAAAGGTATAATAGAAACATCGAATGCAAGTATACTCAAAAATACTCATCTTGATTTTGAAATAAACAAAAAATTTACTGGTGAGCAGGCTCCCCAAACCCCTCCACCGATCAAGATTCATCGGCCCCATTGATTTCCGCCCTTCTCGAAGAAAAGGATCGCCGATTTTGGTATCGATAAGCTACTATTAGTGCTGCAAATGAGCGGCCAATTATTTTTGCCGTCCTCCATTTCACAATTCAAACTCTGCAGTTGTCCAAAAAATGCCACACTCAATCCGCCCTATTTCGACGCCACTAGCAGGGGTATATCTACATTGTTTGGCGTCAGGGGTCAAGATTCATTTTTACGCCACCCCCCCCCCTTTTTTTCAATTCTGAAACCCATTATTTTCAACCAATTAATTCCATCAAATCCTATTTTTTTTGCCCNTTTTTGCTACTGGCATAGCCCCGCCCCCCCCCGCTACCCCCGAAAGTCTGAAGTTGCCCCCCCCCCCGGGAAATTTTTTAAAGCAGCTCTGAATGTGATCAATGCAGATGGACGGAATTCACAGCTGGATAGATATTCCCTTCACACACTAGAAGAAACGCCATTTTGTAACTTTTTTTTTCATTATAAAATCATTATTTTCATTAAATAAAAACATATATCATATAGCTTTCAAACGTAATGCCATCATCATATCATCGTTTACGGCTTAAGGTGACCTATAAAAAGTCTACTTTCTAAAAATCAATGAATTAATTCCTTCGGAAAAAGAACGGCACTCGTACTAAAACAAAAGAAAACACGTATATAAAAAATGAAGATATGATTTAAAAAAAAAAAAAAAAAAACTTTCTCTCTACTTGCATCCCCATCTTATTTGTGGACGGGGCGTCAATTAATAATTATTTTCTACACGTGGGACATTTTAAGATTTCGTGTGCTTTACTCACCTGGTGAACGTCTGGGCGATGGAGGCGAGTTGACACTGGTTGACAGCGTCTGCTTTGCAGCGTGAACAGGTGGGTGAGCTCAGATTTACTGTTTAGTTTGGATGTGACACGTAGCCGGTATGGGAGACCACCGGCTCCCAAAACAGAGAACTCACGATCGGCAAGCGCTCCCAAGGAGGACAAAAAAAAAAAAAAAAAAAAAAAAGCAAAAAAAAAAAAAGCTTTACAAAGACTCACTGAAAGCGGCACTAAATGCCTTCAGCATCAACCCTATTCAATGGGTGCAGACAGCCCCGGAAAGAGCCAGGTGGAGAGCAGATGTCAAGAAGGGGGCTAAATCCCATGAAGCTAATGGGATAACCACAGCTGAGACACGCAGGCTGGCCCGAAAGAGCAACATTAAGTCACCGTCTGCAGCAACTCTTCCCTGCCCGCGGTGCCAGAGATTATTCCGAGCAAGGATCGGTCTAGCAAGCCACCTACGAGCTCACCGTAACCCACCCTCCCCCTAACCGGATGACTGGATGGTCCTAGTCGATTTTGATGGACGAACAACAACAACAGTTTAGTTTTATGCTTAGGTAAAGAGTTAAGTCATTTCAACCGGGATTTTGTAATTAGTGGATGTTTAAAAAATGAATCGTTCTACTTTTGTCCAAAATTTTAAAATTACAATATTAATTCTAATAAGTAGCAAATAAAATATTTTTCAAAGTTTAAAAAAAAAAAAAAAAACTTGCTTTCAAAGACTGTTCAAACGCACAAAATAGAAAATAAAATTACAATTTCTTAAAATGCTTTGCGCAAAGATATAAAGTTTTTATAATATATTTTAATTAATAGTTCCATGAATCTCTTATATATATTAATATTTTGCTTGGGTATAGCTGCTTCCATTTCCGGCTGCTTCTTATTTCCAACCGGCCCTCCCCAACATTACACATAATTCTCTATGTTGAAAGAAAGTATGGTTCAACAGTGAGTTCAGTCGCGCTCAAAATATAACTATAACGATAACTATTCTAAATAATGTTGTTGTTTTTTTAATGACGCGTTTGGTGGGTTTTTATTTTATTTTGGTAAAATGAAATCGTCTCAATTTAAATATGATGTAAGTGTAATACATATTCGTTTTAAAAGTGTACGGACATCAGAATATTAATATAGTTTTATGGGCGTGAAATAAAAAGTGTGCAGTGACAAATCATAGGGGGAAAGTGGTGTAGCAAAAAGTGGGACTTGACTTAAGTAGATGGGAAGTTCACACATTGCTTTCGCCAATGTTTGGCGAGCTATAACTGGTGATTCTTGTGATATAATAAAGCTGATTCAATATTTTTATAAATGCATCCAAATCGGTACCGGTACGTCAAAATATATAGGCCATAGGCCCTAATAATAATTTTAATGAGCTGGTTCGTGCGTTATTCGAGCCCGGCTTACATTATCTTAATCTTTTTGTAGTCCTGACGCTTTTTTAGATTTAAAATTGTAAATGCATGCGATTACAGCCTTAATAATAACTTATTAACACTTTTACAGAGAAAAAAATTAATGAGGTTAATCCTGACCGTGAACAATTTCGTGTTATCTGTAAATTAATTCACACGACACCGCTTCACCTTGCTATTTATACTGTCCTTGACCCCGTGACAGTTGTTTATGTTTAATCTGTGTTGCAACAAGGCAGGACACAGGTTAAAGGCATTGATATTTAGTTATAGCAATAATAATACAATTTAAGTGTATATTTTATAATTAAGTTTCCTCCTACAATTCAGCACACACACACACACATATTCGCGTTTTAAACCAAACGACGATGTAATTGAATTGCAACCGGTAGGCTGTAGGCTTAGGCTTAGGGCAGTGTTCAGTGTAGTTTCAGTTCATTCGAGTTCAGTGTCGTCAACGGTAGTGCGTAGAAAGTTTGCTTATACTAAGTATAAGATGCAATAAAATAATGATTTTTAAAATACATTTTAGAGCAGTAAAGTTATAGTTCTATAAAAACACCATGCTCCAAATCTGCCAGCATTGCATTAAATCCCTGGGTATCCCCGGTGGAGACTGACAGACTGATTATGATTTAAAACACAAGAATCATAACATAACAAACTTTCTTCTTATTTTCAGTGACTTATTTTATGTCTTCTTTTAAATTGAGCATGATCATGTTAAACCTATGAATAGCATCACTCCTGTAATTAGCACAACTTTCGGTTTGGTTGCAAAGTTTCGACATATCTATGACATGTCATGGGTTTCACTGCAGTGGCTATTTATTATTTAGTCATAAACTACAAACTGAATTTTTTATATTTATTTTATATGTTTTATTTTTGAAAATTATCAACTTATTTCTTGAGATCTAATGAGAGACTTATGGCTCTTATATTCAAATAATGCATTTCTTTACTTAAAATCTAAACAAGAATTATTTATTAAAAATTGTATTAGAAGTTAAAAAAAATAAAATAAATTCAGGTCATATTTTGTCATTTATATAAAGGGAGATAACAAGTAAATCATTAGCTACACTAAAATATAAAACAGGACCAATATAAATACCATTAATTAGTACGCTTACTACAAGTACAAGATTACCACCAGCCCACCTTTATAAGTTTTATAATTATGTCAGGGCTGTCCCGAGTGTCCAAGATTGTCTCCATCACAGACCGATTTAGAAAAAGCTTTTGTACCAGTATTTTAGAAGTTTATGAAACCATTTTTTTTCTGAGCTCCTTTCTAGTAAAACCAAAATCCACTAAGGACTAGACAAAAAGTGAATGCTGAGTATTTTGTGGAAAAAAATTAAGACCGACACAATTTTTTCACTTGGGATTAAAAATTATTTTTAAAATGAAGTTTCTAACAAACTTACTATTCATGCACTTACTCTAAATAACTTACTAAACAATGTTAAATGTTCCTGCACAAGTACTTACTCATACATGATGAGTGTTTCTGTAAATTAACCAGTTAGTTAATGAGATACAAGTTGAAATATTATATCTAACCTATAGTAAGGAATATACAATAGCTCACACTAGGAAAGTTACAAAAAAAAATTAATTGTCTTATGTATGAAGTTTAATTACCTTAATTTTGTTTACCACACTCCAATGCTAAACATGTTTAAAAAACTATTTAAAATCTTAAAATTAAAAAAAGAGCACTTATATTTTCAGTATTGTGTGTGTTCTGTAGGCTGTTTTATCACTCTTCAAGAAAAAATATGGCATCAGTTTCAACTGCATTAGTTTTTCTTGCCGAAGGGGCAGAGGAGATGGAAACAGTAATTACTGTAGATGTCCTCCGTCGAGGGGAAGTATGTATAACATTTTATGATATGAGTGCAAAGGGAAATATCTACTAAAGGATTTACCGTTTTAAAAGCAGCTGTTTGGGAATTTTGTAAATTAATTAGTATAGCTGAATAGTGTATTGTATGAAATGGAAAAAGATATTGTTTTGTCGCTATGACAGGTTGATGTAGTTTTGGCTGGAATTGATGGAGATGGTCCTGTGAAATGCAGTCGTAATGTGAAATTGGTTCCTGACAAAAGCCTGAGGGATGCTCTGCATAAAGAATATGATGTTCTTATTTGTCCTGGTGGAGGATTAGGAGCAGAGAATTTGTGCAAAGTGAGTGTAGCTGAGTTTTTAAAAAAATGATGTGAATAAAGTTTGAGGTTTTAGTAACAAATACATTGCTATTTTTCATTTGAGCATGTTAATTTTTTTTTTAAACTTACTTGTTTGTATTAATCCTGATTTTATAATCATTAACCCTTGAAATGTGGCATGCATCATTCTATGGTGTTGGAGCTTTTTAGAGCTTTTTGAGTGCCTTTTGAAATTGCATTAAATGACATAGAAATATTGATACAAGACCCCAATAAGTATTATGTTTTTAGAAAGGTAAATGGATGGGGATAAAGTTGCCTATATTGCCCACCAAGTAAAAAAAAATTTGCTCAGTGTCCTTGACCTTATAGTGCTCAAGAAAAAAAATCGACAAAATTTCTTGGTTTCAAGTCCTCATAACATCATTAATTTTTATAGATACACTTAGATAAATCTAAATGTTGTAGCCAATTCATTTATCTTTCAGAAAATGCATAGTTTGCTAAGGCTTTGATTACAATTAAACCTCTGAAAGCAATTTTAGTAATTTTAGGTCATTTATATAAGAAACTGGGACTACAGCTAAAACCAAGTACAAAATACAAAATCTCATGCAAAATATTTCTTATTGACTAGTAAACATTTAAAAAGGAACTTTGGAACTGATTTGGGTTGTTTAACTATAAAATTTATTAGTTCTGATCTATAGTCTGTAGCTTATGTGACTAAAATTCAGTCAGTCCTTGCCCAACCTCCGGACCTGGCTCAAGTCTAACAGTAGCCTCTGTAGGCCTACTTCAGTATCACAAAGACTAGTATAAGATTCACGAGAAGAATAATCTCAACTGATATCGTCATGGGGAATGTTAAAATCATCATCATTATCACTTAAATCCTCTCATAAAGCGCTTTCAAAAATATTTCTATTAGTTCTTGCACTGAAAGCCCAGCCATAGCTTCAACCATTTTAGCTTTAGAAAAAACAGCGATATAAAACTCTGGTTAAAAAGTATTTATTATTAAGTTATAAAGAAACAGCTTTAACAGGAAGATGATTTAATTATTAATAAAAGGAAGAGGCTATAATTCCGATTAAACTTTGGATTAGAAGTTGTTATCGAACCGTGTTTTTAATCTGCAGATTTTTTTGGCTGCCACAGCACAGAATGAGAATATCGGCCGATTTCGTCGGCCGACCACAGTTCGAGGGTTAAATCATTTTGACTTACTGTTTACTACCATATTATTAGTTTTCTAATTATTTTTTAAGTCCAAAGAGGTTGGAAAAGCACTGCAGGAGCAAGAGAAAAGAGGTGGATTTATTGCTGCTATTTGTGCAGGTAATTTTAATCATTAAAATTTACAAATCAAATATATAACTTTATTTTTTTACAAAATTTTTAATATTTTTAAGACATGCAGTATAGTTAAGTGACATTTGCTCAAGTTCTGAAACTCCAGATTAATATGCATTAAGAAATCAAAGAGGAGAGCAAGTAATAATGGTGCTCATCATTTGATAGTTTGGCATACAAAAATAATAATGATGGTGAAATTAGGCAGAAAGAACTCTCGTACACTCAAACAGGGCAGTGTTAAAATGTGAGAGGATAAAAATAGATAATATATCTAAGTAAGTGTTATGTAAAAAATGAAAAATCTTTGAAAAAAAACGAAAAAACAATGGGCATGTGTCTCAACACATGACTCTGTCACTGGGTTTTTGCAACACCTTACCACTTTCATGAACTAATAAAAAAAATAGATAAAAAACTAAAGAAAGACAGCCCTTTTCTTTTAATCACATATTTATACTTGTCTTCTTAATTAAGTGTGATGTGTTATCATTTATGTACATTTTGTAATGAAATTTAATTTGTTTGTGTTTTAAATTTCCACATGATTTCATTTGAAAATAAATTTTGATATTTTTTAGGTAAAATTAACTATGATTGAGTTAAAAGTAAACAAAAATACATTTCAACTGAGAATGAACTGGAATCAGTAAAACATTTGCAATATAAATAATGCCAAAATACGATATATTTTGATTTAGGTCCTACAGCTCTCCTTGCTCACAATGTGGGAAAAGGGAAAAAAATTACATCTTATCCAAGTATGGCTGATAAACTAAAAGGTTGGTTAAACCAGTAATTTCACATAATGGTATTATTGTAGATCCTTAAATCATTTTGGTTGTAATAAGAAAATCTGGCAAGTTATAATTCTTATTCAACCAGATGAAGATTGTTTCTTTCAGAAACACTGGTACTTTCATTCTCAAATATACATTTGTAAACCATGTTGTTTAATGCAGAATATGAAAAAGAATTTTCATTTGTTTTTAGCAGCATGCATCAGAACAAAAGCTTTGCTTGACATTGACTGAATTTTGTAGTCGCTAAATAATTTTTTAAAATTACAATTTATTTACCGTTAGTTTGTTACCCTTTCATAGATTTCGTCAAATTCATATTAATTATTCTAAAAAATGTTGTTTATTTTTCTATTCATTGTTTTAAAAGATTGCTCGATGTCAAATATTAGATTTTAATTAGCTTATATGCAGGTTATAATTTCAGTTTATTTGATGATTTTCTCTGATTTTACAGATGCTTACAAATATTCAGAAGACAGAGTAGTCGTTGATGGAAAATTTATTACAAGTCGTGGGCCTGGCACATGTTTTGAGTTTGCCCTTGCCATCGTGGAACAGTTAAAGGGAAAGGAAAAGGCTCATGCACTTGTCAAGCCAATGTTGATTAAAATTTAAGACAACTGTTTTTTTCCTCTTCTGTGCTCTGATTCATTGAACATGGTACTTGGATTAGGATTCCTCCATATTTACCAAATCAGGGCCGATTGAAGGATATTTTGTTAACTGGGTGTGAAGACTCACTGTTTAAAGGATAGAAATTAAAATGAACGTAATCTTGATAAGAGGTAATCTTCCTATGTGTGGTAGAATTTCTGAGCTTATTTTTATACTTACAGCCCATTCCAGCATTCAGACCACATTTTAGCACTGATGTTTAAAGCGATTGCCTCTGTGGGAGCGGTCTGCAGGGTCAGGTTTCGAAGCAACAGCTGTTACTCTTACTTTAAATATTCTTTTAGAAACTAGTAAGAAATTTCCTCAAACTATTAATTCTTTGAAACAAATTCAGGAAGGATTTCTAATTATTGTGCTATGCCAATGCATTTTTCAATATTTTTGATGACAAAAAATGTGCCATTTTGAGAAATAATGTTAAAAGTTTATCTCTGATGAAACCATGAGAGACCATTAGCTCTTGAGTTTTCTTGGCTGTAGCTTAATTTGAATCTAATAACAAAATCCATTTTTAATAAATGATTCCTCTATACCTTTGTTCTGACTTGTCAAATTCTTGCAGTGAATTGTTTGTTGTTATTACCACTCATTGTGATATTCATTTGGTTTTGAGATTGCAAGGCTAGTAAAAAATAAAATATTCAGATTAATTTAAATACCAGTGGTGTTGACATGAAGATGAGTAATTAGCAGTTGCAGTAAATCAGGGCTTCCCAAACTTTTCTTATACGCTGCACCCATTAGGAATTCGGCGGCTGATCCATTTTGTTCTTAAAAGTGAGTTCCCATAATTTATATTATCATCAGTTCAGTCCACCGGTAGTTGTAAGCTTTTTTTTTTTTTTTTTTTTTTTTTTTTTTTTTTTAAATTTAATTGATTTTTTTCCCCTTTTTTTTTT